TATAACACGACATGTCCAATTTTCATTGGCCATAATTTAATCGATTCCTTAATAATTCTGTTTTCATATAAAATGACGCTGTTTATAATAATGAGCTCGCTCTCGTCTTAATATACAATAAAGAGGTTATATAGAGACTCATCGACATATTTCCCTTATCACTTCTTCATATATTCAAGATATAGCACAATGATACTGCTTTTTATTATTATTTGCTATTGTACCGAGGGGGAAGGAATGCAGAAAAAAACTACAGGAATGCTGTTGCTCACAAAAACGCGCATAGTGAATGAGTAAACATAAAAGGGAATGAGAAGGGGTAACTATATATGATCACATGTCAATTGTGTCGATGTTGGAGCACACATTGTCTCTTGCGACTCTTGGACTCGGAGAAGAGTTGTTGGATACTGTCGATGGGTAAAGTTGGTGCGTAACGATCGCTGATGACGTTTGGGCACGCAGCACGAACACAAAGCCGATCAAAAACATCCAATACTTTGAGGATGGCGGGTGCTTCGGTGACCAAAGCAGGTAAGTTTTGTATACTGTCCGGTATCTTGATGTTTGCAAGGGGGATGAGAGTATAAAGGCCTTGAGATGGTAAGGTGAGTAGATAAAAGACAACCATTCTGCCAATGATTTGGATGCCCAAGATGCCTTCAAAGAGTTGTTTGTCTAGAGCCTCCTTGCAAAATACGGCGACCCTAATGAGATCCTTGCACACAAGATAATTGTCATAGCTATGTACAGCGGGTTTTGCTTCACCATAGGCAAGGCTGGTGGTCCAATTGACACCGCAGCACTTGGTTATGCAGAGATCAGGGCGGCTTTGTGATGATTCGTTTGCCTTGGCCTCCAAAGTACGTTCGTTGGTCCAACGCAGGTAAATGCCTTTGGCTGGATCATCAAAGAGACCAGCCAAGAAGGGTTCCACGAAACGAGAGCAAAGCTCAGTTTCATTGATGTCTTCATCTAATGCAACGAAAGGAAGCTTTGACACCAGGTTTGCCAATGCCTTGGCCATCCTCTTTTCCTTGGCTTGCAGCGGCATCGTCTTCAACTGAATCTCAGATGTATCGCGATCGATATCATTGTTCAGAAGCTGTTCAATGACACTAAGGAAGTTGGTTGTGGTTGTGAGGGGTAGTGGTAGGCGTTTGATGTTGAATACTTGCTGAATGTAATCATTGATTGCCCACCAGTCATCCTGGCCAAAAAAAGGCTTTATCTCGTTCGAGTATTTGTGAGGATCCAAGAGTAACACTGACGTTGATGCAAGGGCCAGAATCAAATTGTCCTCTAAAGATTGCTTCCATTTGTGTGCCGTCAATGAAGCCACCATCGCACGGAAAGCATCCGACACATCGAAACCGTTAACCACTAAGTGCTTCCCGAATGAAGGATCCGGATTCAAGTCATCATGACAAAGAACTTCGTTATGTTGTTGTTTTCGGCTAGTTACGGATTTTTGGTGAACTTGATTTTCCTGTTGTTGTATTTGATGAGGAAGGTAACTGTGATGTCTAACCTTGAAATGACCTTTCAGATCGGCAAGGCTAGCAAAGTGATCTACACAGCAAGGACAAGCATAGTGCTGGTTAATAATGACATCATTTGAGGAGCTGGAGGGTTCATTAACGTACAGATAAGTGTCGTTGTTGTGTCGGCGAACTTTGTTAAGGCGGATAGGGAATAAGAAGTGATGTTGGGATATAAGATGGCGTCGCAAGCTTTGCGCAGAAGAAGGTTTATATTTGCATTCATTGTCTCCAAAACAATGATGAATAAGAAATACTACAGTAGGTCCTGACATGCTGAAGGAAAAAAGATGAAAAAGCGAGGGGCGTTTTTTTGTAATGAGTTTTTTTTTATGGTCATCTTATCACTCTTAAAGCTCAGCCTACGATGCTACAATACTAATCTAGCAAAACCATGCTAGCCTGCAATGATAACCTAGCAAACCATTCAGCGCATGCCTAGCAAAACTATGCCTGTGTTCAATGCTA